TTTCAACTAATGGAATAAAACAAGAGTTTCTGAACAAAAAAAGCTTATCTTAGTTGAGAGAAAATAAAAATTACTGTTGGCCATGGAGCAGATAATAATTTGGTACCTTCTAATAGTTGATCTCACAATGCCAGTGAGGATACCAACAACAAATGGCTGCTGAGGAAGTTTTGTCAATTCACAAGGCTCCTTGGGGAACAGTTCTGTGGCAGAAGGGAAGGTTTTCTTATTCTTTGCTTGGGAAGTGTCTGTTGGATGACTTTTAACAGACAGGCTAGTTGTACATTGCAATGGTTATTCATCCCTGCAGTGGTTTACTCTTACCTATTCAGCTTCTGTCTGCAGCACATGAGAAGTGCTTACAGTTTCATAGAATCATAGAACCATAGAATGTCTTGGCTTGGAAGGAACCTCTAGAGGTTATCTAGTCCAAGACCCTACAATAAGCAGGGACATCTCCAGCTAGAGCAGACTGATAGCAGATAGAGTCAAGACTGACCTTGAATGTCTCTGGTCATGGGGCCTCCACCACCTCTCTAGGCAACCCATTCCAGTGACCCACTACCCTCATATTAAAGAACTTTTTCCTAATGTCCAACCTAAATCTACTCTTCTCTACCTTAAAACCATTACCCTTTGTCCTGTTGTTACATCCCTAGTCAACAGGTCTTCCCAGCCTTCTTATAGGCTATAGGTACTTTCTATACAGTCCTGAAGAGAAATTTCAGTTTTGGAAGCCCATCATATTGTAACTGCATTGTAGAAGAGGCCTAGGGAGAAATCAGACATATTTGTTAGTGAGAACAAGTAATTTGCAAGCAAGTATTTCAGTGTGATAACAGATACTCATGAGACTTTCTGAGGACAGAGCAGGCCAGTTGCTACCGAGAGGAGTGTGTTGAGAGATTTGTCATGGTCATGCATGAAGAAAGCAATTTATCAAAGGATATCAAAGGATAAATAGGCCTTATCTCTTGACAAGAAACTGTTTCTTAGATGTTTTCACGATGCTGGTTTAATCTTACCCTAAAGGAATGGGCTACATGTGAGAATGCTTTTTATTGCATTAACACATTTGATGCTTTTTCTTCTTCATGCATAACTAAAAACCTACTGGCCCTGATAAGTTGTGTTAGGAGAGATTCTCTGATGTTTTGAACAGCAGCTGGCTTTAGAAGGGAGATGTACCTTGTTAGCAGTGTTCATAGTCTGGGAGAGTTTGGGATCTGCTCATCTCTGTTAGAAGACTCAGTGAGATCAATGTTGATACATAAGTCTAGAAATGTAGCAAGTTCAGCTGCTTTGGAGCTACCTGCTTGTTTGGGCTTTAGGGGATTTTTGCATTTTTTGGAACTGCATTTTTCCCTGTATATGGGTGTTGAGCAAGTAGAATGTTGCACAGGAAAGCAAAGAGAGATACAACTAACAGAAGCAATCAAATGAGGACACTGTTGTGTAAAGAAAGCATTTTTCTTTTGCTAGTAAATTTAACTGTTTCATCTTTGAGGAAGGTTTGTAAGATTGAGACATCTCTGGCTTCCAGGGAGGTGAGCAATATTTTAATTTTCAATATTGCTCATACTGCTGGTACTGAGATTCAGCTTTAGGTGTTTAATTTTTTTCCTGAAGATCTAGCCTAAATGTTTGTTGGGTTCAAAGCATAGGGCATATAATCTATGAAGCATCTGTCTATCATAGATAGTTGTTCCTTACACAGTGTATATATGTGTATGTGAATTCCATATAGAGTGTATAGTCTCTTATCCTTCCTGTTTACTGACAGATGGAAAAGAAGAAGCAAGAAAACAAAATGCGAAGAGACCAATTGAATGACGAATACTTAGAGCTTCTAGAGAAACAGAGGCTTTACTTTAAAACAGTGAAAGAATTTAAAGAGGTAAGATTTTTGCTCATTAAACTGGCAGGTGTTTAGTGACCCATTTTGGCCTGACAAAAGTTCCTAATATGATGCTTATTGCACCATGTTCATAATATCTCTTGGTTAACTCTGGGTGGTTTGGGATTCTGAATTTGATTCTGCAAGTTCTTTTTTCACTGATAGACTGGCACTGTAACTCCATGTTACAAGGGGAGGGTTGATTTGTTGCCAAGCAAGCTATATATTTAGCTCCATATTCCAAATGGAGTCTCTTGAAGATCTATGAGAAGTGAGGTTTGGAACAAAGAGAGCTGTGGAAATGTGTGTGAATAAGGGAGGGAATCCAGAGTCTCAGTAGTTACAAATACCTTTAGGAACCAGCCTTGTTTTCTAACCACTGTGAAAGCACTGTTTAACACTTCGTTGACTTAGCCTTTCATGAGCTTTTCATCATAATGTGCTTCTGTTAATTATTGTCTCTTTGATAATGAATGACTAAGTAGTGCTGCCAGGTAAAGCTGTCATTTGGCTTCAGTTGTTTGAGGAAAAACATCTCTCTGTAATTTGTCCTGCTCTGTTCTAAGACAGTTCCTTCCTGTTTTGGACAATGTACTTGGGGAGAATAATAAGAACTGTTCAACTACTTTTCTGACATGCATAATTTTATGTCCTAGTCACAGAAGTTAGGTGGAAATATTTTTTAATTATTTTTTCTTTTGGTGGAAGCATAAATAAGCTATTTATCTTCCACTGCCTTGTGAGGGAACTTCTGCTCAACCTTTCTGTCAAAATAAATGAAGTCATTGTTGTGGTGTTGAAAATGGGTGGTATGTACTTACATAAAGGTATTTCTTGACCTAAAGTTTTTCCCTGGACACTTGACTTTATTGCAGAAAGCCTTGTGAAGCTCCAGAGCACCTAAAAGTAATCTCAGTTTTGGATTTATTCCATTTTTAAGTTAAAAGGTAAAAACTGTAGAGGATTGGTCAAGCAGCATTCCTTTTGGCTTGAATGTCATGTAATTTAATATTACCCTTGGAATAACATCATGGATTAATCAGAATTAATCAGCTCATCACTCGTTCCAGACTACTTTGGATTTTGGAGATCTTTCAAAATAAAGGGTTTAATTTTGCTGATGTGAAGATATAACTAGTGGAGTTAAGAGCAACTACCTCCTTGTCTGCTTGCTTTCTGTTAACAGGAATGTCGTAAGAATGAAATGCTGCTGTCCAAGCTGAAAGCTAGTTCTTCCTGAAGAATTCCAGCTGGTGAAGTTTATAGATGATTGTTCAGTCCATTGAATCTCTTCTGTGAGGTGACAGTTATAACTGCAATGTAGATATATATATATATAAAATATATACACACAGCTGTGAAAGTCTGGGGTTTTTTCCAGTATGTATTCAGTTTTACATTCCTTCATCCCATGGCTGTATCATTCATTATTGCCTCCACTACACAGTAAAGAGTTAACACAGTACAGCAAAATAGAAATATTGTCTAATTTTATTTATTTGGGTTTGTTTTTTTCCTACATGACAATGTTTTTTTTATTTTTATTTGGGCTTTAACTTTGGATTAGGTCAAGATTCTGGAATAAGAGAGGTGTACTGTGTAGTATGTCCAGTACCACAAGATGAGCACTGCAGAATGCAGTGGTTTGTTAATTTTGGCCAAACTCACAACATGAGATTCTTGAAACTCTCTTCACCAGCCAATAGCTTCACATTATTTTAATTTCCACTATAGCCATAGATAAATGTCCAAAGGATAAAAATTAATTTCTAATGGTTAAGACATAAGGAGATGGAAACTTACCTTGGATAATTCCTGGTGTAAAATTATAGATCTATATTTTTATAAAGTCTAGCTGTTGTACAAATTTCTTTGAGATTTCATTTTTATATATAGAGTGTGCTTATTAAATTAATAGCTCCAAGAAAAAAAAACCTTAATCACTAGGACCTTCATTTTATCCCTGGGTGGTATGAGAAGCAAAGTCTGTGTCACCTGTAATATAGAAAGATAAAGATTCAGACATTCTGCTGAATGGAACTGATGCTTGTCTTTGAAGACAACCCCTTTACCCTGCTGAAGAATTTCCCTTGAAATTTTAGAAACTTTGTGGAACAATTTCTGAAACATTTTTTATATCTATGTATACAGGATTTTATAATTGAAACAGTTACTTTTTGTACTTAACAACAAGATTTTGGACTGACTTCTTAACGTACATCGCACCTTCAGGAGAAGAAAAACCACATTCTTTTTTCCCCAGTACCACTGATGATAGTGCTGTTCAGTTACTTTCTATGGCAGTGAATATAAAATAAAGAATATTTGGAATCTGGTGACCTTCTGGTATTATGTTTTTAAGGTGGCACTTGGTTTAGAAGCCTTATTATGCTTTTGAATTACGAGTGCATTAAAAGATTGTCTCTATTCTCATAAGGATGTTTTCATGTGTCCTATAACAATTGGTAACATTTTATTTTCTCTTTCTGCTTTTGGTATCCTTGGTGTTTTGGTATTTGGCACAAACTGTCAAACCTGGTAGATGCAAAGGAGGTCCATGGAAGGTTGTATTTATCCTTCCATAGGCATCAGCTTAGGATACAGATTTTCAGTGGACACAGTACAAGTTCATCACAGAACAGTACCTGATTCCCCTCCTTTTGAATACAACAGGAGGTTTGATATCTGCATGTGGATTTATGCAAACTCTGTAGCATTGCCTACAAGCAGAGATGACTGATGTACTCTGAATTGGCAACTTATATTGGAGGAAATAAATGGGCATATGTCTAAGTACTGCTAAATGATGTTTTTTTCAGAATAGATTATAGGGTTTTTTCTATTTGAATGTTCAGGGTACTGTATTATTTATCTTTGTTCATGTGGGATTTGTATTTTCTATGGTTCTTTAGGTCTGTCTTGAAGCCAAGGTAACACCACAGCAATAATGCAGGATCTAAACTCTAATGCTTGGAATGCCACAAAGAGGAATTCCTGCATGCCTGATTGTACTCTTTTTTATTTTTTATTTTTTTTTTCCAATTAATATAAAGTTGTACGTTTTAATAATGAGAGTAATAAATCACAGAAATAAAATACCAAGGGGGATGGAAAATTACCCACATTTCCAATTACCCACAAGTTTTTGTAGTCAAGGTTGATGACTGTCCAACAGTTACATGCCCATTGCACCAGGTTGCTGGCTTTCTCACACAGATTTGTGGGTAAAGGCTGTGCAGGAGGGCAGGGGGTGGTAATGCTGCTTCTGGCTTTAAGCAGGAAGCACCATCCAAGCAGGTTAAGCATAATCCTTGATAACATATTTCTTCCCCCCAACCCCCAAAGGTGAGATTTTATGGGGTTAAAATCCAGGAATGAATCCTGCTGCTCTTCTTCTAAATGCAGCCATGCACAGAGCCAGTGTGGGAAGCTGCTTTTGTTAAAAGCTTTCTGAAACTGCACTGTGGTGATCGGAAAGCTCTGCTTGTTTCTTATCACCTCTGGGCATGGATGGAGCCAGGCTGCTTTGGGTGGAAGCCTGTCATTCTGTGACAACTCACTGCTGTCACAGATGCTTGGGTGGGCAGAGCACTAAACTAGTTATCTTGAGAACGTGTCACAGTAAAATTACAGAGATTCAGATTCACCTCCTAAGGAAGCTAAATTCATCTTTGAGGGGGTGGAGAGCTGCATTGTGTGCTACATCTGTAGCCCTACTAGGAGTTCTCAAGCACACTGAAGAGAGCCCTGCTGCATCTTCAGCCTTCACAGTGATACCAGTGCAGTGCTCAGCTGTGCTGACTGCACAGGATTCTGCTGGCTTTGTGGTGTTTTCTTGAGTTCCAGATGCCAAGCCATGGGAAAATATACCTCAAAATCTGGATTACTTCTTGGAAGGGTTCCTGCACCAAAACCAGAGCTTGGTGTTCCCCCAGTCAGCTGGCACTTAAAGAGTTGGAAGAAATACCTGTGCTGCTGCAGCCACAGGCTGTGATGGGCCCCAACCTCAGTGCCACAGGGTTAATATTGGGTCTGCACACTGGTAATGGTTTGTCTTACAGGCATGAAAAATTGGCGAAAGCATGGTTATTGGAACATCAGGAATATCCACATGCAGGAAATTGGATGCTTTTCAACAACCAGCTTAAGATGACCTGTTCCTTTTCTCCTTGTAATCTGTTTAGATTTTAAGGTTTTTAGAGCAGTGACTATCTTAAATGAAAAACTCAATTCACTTGAAAAACTCATCAATGGTTTTGAATAAGGCCTGCAGGTTGTTTTTCAGAATACACAAGCTGCTTGATAATACCTGTCTGACATGGCTGTTCGGTACATCAGTCCCTCGCTGACAGAAATACACCCAGCCACTATTGCCTGTGAGACACTTCGAGGATACCAAGACTTAGGTAGGTGCTATGTGGTCAGCACTCGTGTCAATGTGATACTCCTTAGCTTGGCAACTGTCAGAGATGAGGCTGAGTGGGATGCACTGCACTGAGGCCAGAATGCCAGTGCTGCAGTATTGCTGGGGCTGAAGTGTGTGACTTATTAGTCATGCTGTGCAGTTTGGTGGTGTTTGCCTGAGGGTATGCTTTGAATCAGGGTTCCTTAAGCAGCAGCAAAACCAAAACTGGCAGAGAAAGGCAGTGTAAAAAGTTAAACCTCAGCTTCAAAGGCAGTTGTGATGTTGCCCAGTCCGAGCAGAGCTAAAACATATATCCCTTACAGCATCTAAAACAGCTTTCAGAGGAGATGGGAGAGGGTTCTGGGACTCTGTGTCAGAGCAAAGTAAGTAAAACTTACTAGAGGAGCAAATCCAGGGAAGAAAGAATGGGCAGCATGCATGGAAATACTTGTATTTTAATTAATTTATGTATATATTGTTGGGACAGGGGTGTTTGCCAGGTTTGGAAAAATAATATAGGGCTTGGTTTTGAATCACTTTGGGGTTTCAGGAGTCACACCTGATGGCATCAATACCTTTCTTACAGTAGGAGAAAGTTGATGCAAGCTGACAAATTGTGGACTTCACTCAAGTAAGGTGATGTGCACAACATTTATGGTGCAAGAAACCCAGACAGTGCAGTGCAGATACCAACCACTGACAAGCAGCCACATGTTGCTGCCAGCAAACCAGGTGATTGAGTAGAGCATGTTTGGTGTTTGTAACACAGATGTGTGCTTAGTTTACTGGTAGAATGAAGTAATAATGCACATGGTCCTCCTGCACTTGGAGGTATCAGGTGCCTATCTTTAGCTCACCTGGGTTTCAGAAAACAGGGATACCCTGAGCCCTGTGGAGTGCGGGGGGACAATCCAGGTGAGAACTCTGCTAGATCCTCCTCTGGTGCAAGTGGGTGCAAGCACAGAATCATGGTATTGTTAAAATTTGGAAGGAACTTCTAGAGTTCAACTCCACCACTAAAGCAGGATCCCCTAGAGGACATTACTTAGGACTGCATCCAGATGGATCTTGAATATCCCCATAGAAGAGGACTCCACAACTCCTCTGGGCAGCTTGTCCCAGGGCTCTGTCACACTCACCACAAAGAAGTTTTTCCTCATATTTAAATGGAACTTCCCATGCTCCAGCTTGTGCCTGTAGCTCCTCATCCTGTCACTGGGAACTACTGAAAAGAGTCTGGCTCCATCCTCCCTGCACCCACCCTTTAGATACTTGTAGGCATTAATAAGCCTTTTCTTCTCCAGGCCAGAGAGTCCCAGCTCTTTCAACCTTTCCTGATAAGGGAGATGCTCCAATTCCTCAGTCATCTTTGTTGCCCCCCACGGACTCTCTTTAGTAGTTCCCATCTCTCTTGAACAGGGGAGCCCAGAGCTGGGCAGTTAAAGGCACATTCTCAGTAGCTCTGAATAACTTTACATTTGGCTTTCAAATTTTACTTAACCTCAGGGGATGTAACAAACCTGTATTTCACCAAGACTTCCCATCAAGGACTGCACTTGCCAGAGAACACCCAGCCCTTCCATCATACTAGGGCATGGTTTTGAGCTGATTTTAATTTCACATCAATTCAACAACTGATTGAATACAACCTGTTTATTCCCTTCCAAATAAATTTCAAAACCGAAGCCAACATCCTCCCCATATCACAAACATTTCAGTGTTGCTCAATTAGCAGTTCCCACTGGTGCCTTTGCTAATGATGAGAGAGCTCCAGAATAGCACTTGTAGCTGTTCAGATTAAATCAGTCCAGTTAGATTTGACAGACCTGGTGTCAGACACATCCAGTGCTTTGCTTGCAGACCTTAACACATGTTGATTTGAAGAGCAGATGGGAGGTACTCACTGCTTCAGTCTTCTTTGCCAAACTCTAGAGGGGTGTATATGTATTTCCAAGGGGGAACTGTAAACTGTCAGCAGGTTTATCTCCAAACATCTTCCATCTCCTTTTTTATTGTTCTTAAATCCCCACAAGTAGCGCTTTTAGATGAAAACTGTACATATCACAGTCATGTCTCCCTCAAGAAATCCCTCTATTATGCAATGAAGGAATAATTTTCCCCTCTGTATCCCCTTTTATTTCTGCTTTACAAAAAGGTTCTTGAAGGCATTGTTGTAATTTTTGTTAAATGCTGTATAAATGAGAGGATTAAAGAAAGAATTGGAATAGCCAAGCCAAAGAAAGATGCTTTTCCAGACGGGTGGGATGTTGCAGGAACAGAGGGGGCTTATTAACTCTGTGATGAAGAAAGGGATCCAGCACAGTACAAAAACTCCAATTAAGATGCCAACCATCAGAGCTGCCTTTTTCTCTTTCTGTTCTCTCCATGTTTCTCCATCTGTCTGGAAAGTGATAGCTGCATGACGAGCTGTAAACACCATCTGTGGTTCATGCGAAGCTTCCTTCACCTCAAAACAAAAGCAAACATGGATTCTTAACCAAGACAATTTGTTTGAGTGAAGTACTACTTTTAAATGACAGCACGACATCTGTGCACCTACCACAAAGGGCCCCAACTCTGTTCCTTCCATGCTAAAAGAAAGAAAATGCCCCAGAGCGTGAAAATTACCAGACTTCTCATTATGTTGGAAAAGCTGCTGAGTGTAACTGACAAACAAAGCTAAATAAAAAGTGACTGATGCCCTGTGTTTTGTGGGCATCCTTTTTCTGTTTGTTTTACTGGATGCCTTAGTACCTAGTGGGAAACCAGGTTGTTGAGGAAGGATAACAAAGGCACGTGCCTTCTTGCCTATCCCTAAACCAGACCCTCCTGCATTGCTTCATGACCTTTAGGACTTCTTGGGCCTGAATCATAAATTAATTTCATTCCATTACAGGCCCTTTTGGGTCATTTCCCTAAGGTATTAGGGAGGGACCTGCAACAAATACCACTGGCTACAAAATATAAAGCTAATTTCTTCAGCCTAGCTGCATGGATGCAGAGCTCAAAATCCCATCCTGCTCTACTTGGTATTCAGCAGATCTACTTGGAGTTCTCACAAAAACTACTGTGTTGCCAGAAAAACACCATTCCAATCAGCCTTCAATTCAGACTTTGGCTTCAACAGAAGTTTCACAAGAAAGGGGAAAATGTCAGCTGCTCCAGGGTCATTGCCTCCTCTCTCACTGAGGGCAAGACATTAATCTGCACAGTGAGTCCTGCACAGAGCTCCTGACGGCAGTGAGACTGGCAAACAGACCCTCGGCACAAATTATTAATATGCTTAGAGTATAGCTAGAGAAATACTCCCCTGTGATTTAATCTGAAGATAAAACTATCTGCAAGTTTGAAGTTCTAGGCAGTACAGCTATAAAGACAGTGAATGCAATAAAATAAACAGTTTAAGGATGGCACCCCAGGCTCTAAAATTGCCTAAGGGATAATTCACAGGCACTGCAAGACTTCAACACCACTCCAAAGATGGCTTGTTGTTAAATTAGCTACATATTCCACATGCGTGTGCCACCTTCGTGCAAGCTTTCTAATAGATGGAGGGCTGCTATTTAATATGAGCACAGCAACTCAGGGGGGTGCTGGCAATGGCTCAACAGTCACTCTTCAAGATGGATGTATCTGCCTTCCCCTTCAGACATAAGACATGGCTGCAGAATGTAAGAGCAGCAGATTATGGGTGCAGGCAAATAATGGAGGAAAATGAAAATCACATCTGTTCTGACAATTAAATTGGGACACCCCTCATGTAGCAAGGATCACACCATTTGTCTGCAGAAGGACATGCTCTGCACATCCTTAATCACGCTCAGCAAAAAAGGATGAATGTTTGACCCGAGGACAAATTTGTGACAAGCAGCCCTGAAAGATTACACCTTAGCCCTGAGGAATAGCTCCAGAAGTATGCCTCTTGGGAAGAGCCCTACAAATGCTTTGTCACTGCATAGTTTGATACTATATTGAACCTTCAACTCTTACTCAAAAGACAACTTTCCATTATCAAATCAGAACCTTTTCTTTTTGGCACTTCAGGTTTTAAAAGGCTTGTGACTGAACTGCAGAATTTACTAGCAGTGACTCTTCTATCACTTAATTTCATATTGTGAGAAAAAGTTATTTATTTTGATAGAAGATACCAAAGTCCTCAGGTGTTTTCACTAACAGAGGATTCTCCAGAATTCACCTGGGGACTATTACTGTTCCTGTGGACAGGATGGACCCTGCTCTGTTAAGATTAAATGGGATCAAGACAAAATTCAGTAAGTCTCAGTGTCTTAATTTAGGAAGAAACAGAGAAAAAAATACAGCCTGAATGCCAGCTCCCTTGGTCTATGGGTTCATTTAATGTACATGTGTGCAGCTGGGAATCAGCTCTTCCTTTAGATGGCAATTAAAAGTTTCAAGTGGATCACAAAATTCTATTTATTTAAGCCAGCAAATGAAGCTGCTGGGACAATGGGGAAGGTTGCCACTCTATCCCAACTGCAGAGTCAAGAATCTCTATTGTAAAAGGAGAAGTCAGTGTGTCAGTCACTGCAAACAGAGGAAAGATTAAGAACTGCTGGCTTGAGCATCTGCTGGCATTGCAATAACAGCTATACTGACAAACCCTCCAAAACAGGTATTCAGCTCACACTAGCTGGAGCTCTTTTGTCATTATAGCACAAACCAGCTCCCAGACACTGCATCAGCAAAAAGCACTTACCTGCCAGCCTAGCTCTGCCCATGCCAGGGCTTTTGCAGACAGAACTTCAACAGTTAGGAGCCAGACTTTTTTGGTGTTAAAACTGACATACCAAGAACGTGTCTCTGTACAGGCTAAAACTTCAGCAAGCAATGCCTCAGCTCATCTAGCTTCCCCAAATTTTAGATTCCAAACAACTAGTTCTATTTGAGTATGTGTGCATGTAAAAGATAAAGTACACAAAACCACTACAAATACTTAGCTTTTGTGCTTGGGAACACTATGAATTAACTCAAGGGACTACATTCATATTTAAAACAGCTTGAAAAGAAATTTGGTGCAAACTAGGGAAAGTTGTAGGGAAAAAATGCCACTAGAGGAGACATTCTTATGTTTTCTAACATATTTTATGCTTTTGCATAATAGCTTCATAAATCAATTTATGTTAAAACACCTTTGAGACACAACAATCCAAATCTGCAAGTCTGACTGCATGTAATTGCCAGTGTTGTCATCTCTTGCTAGAAATAGGGGACAAAGCCTGCAGGCTTTTATTTGTGACCATAATCATGTTTCCTACCATGTCTGCAAACCAAAGTTAGAGGGATTTAGAAGAGGAGTGAGGCTCTTCAGGACGAGCCCCAACTGAACAGAAATGTTCCATGTCTCTCCAGGTATGTCTAACATCCACACAGCTCATCTTTTTTTTATTGGGGAAGGACTGGACTTAGCCAGTACAACATGCAATCACAAAAACATACTGTAAAGAATAATTTCCACAGGTAGAAGTGCGAGAACATGACAAGAAAGTGGAGAGAGCTTACAGAGAGCACTACCAAGCACCTTGTTGACGTGGCATGGGTGACAGCCTTGTCATGCAGAGAGCCTGACTTAACAGGACACAAGAGGCCAACCCCAACCTTTCCACACGGATGCAGCTTTCCTGTCAGCAAGGTGTGTCCCTGAAAAGAGCAAGACCTCCAGCATTACTAGGGCTTTGCAGGGAACAAAGAGCACCACACAAAGGGGCAGGTAGAAGGCCCCAAAGGTGGAGACGATGGTGTAGGAAGGCTCCTGGCTGAGCTGGCAGCGCTCCTGCTCGGGGCTGTAGGTCTCCCCCCAGCCGAAGAGTGGGGCGAGGGAGATGGCAGCAGAGAGCGCCCAGGTGAGAGCGATCATGGCGTTGGAGATGCGGCGGCGGGCGAGCATCGTGTACAGGTGGCGGG